TCTCTCTCTCTCTGGCTCCTCTCGTCATTCTCGCTTCTCTCTCTCTCTCTCTCTCTCTCTCTCTCTCTCGGGTTCTCGCTCTCTCTCTCTCTCTCTTCTCATCTCTTCTCTCTCTCTGTTGTCTCGCTCTCTCTCTCTCTCTCTTTCGTTTATCTCTCTCTCTCTCTCTTCTCTCTCTCTCTTTCTCTCTATCTCTCTTCTTCTCTTTCTCTCTCTCTCTCTCTATCTCTCTTTCTCTCTTTCTTCTCTCTCTCTCTCTCGTCTCTCAATCTCTCCTCTCTCTCTCTCCTTTCTCTCTCTCTCTCTCCTCTCTCTCTCTTTCTCTTCTCTCTCTCTCTCTCTTCTCAATTCTCTCGTCTCTCTTTCTCTCTCTTTCTCTCTCTCTCTGCTATATATTCTCTTTCTCTCTTTCTCCTCTTCTTTCCTCTCTATCTCTCTTCATCTCTTTCTCTTCTCTCTCTCTCTCCTCTCTCAATCTCTCTCTCTTTCTCTCTCTCTCTCTCTCTCTCTTTCGTCTCTTCTCCTCTCTTCTATCTCTCTTTCTTTTCTCTCTCTCGCACGGCCTCTCATGCCTCGTCATGCTCTGTGACACGCACCTCCTACCTCACTCTCAAAAGTTCTAATCTAATGCGAGGTTGTCCGGAAAAACACTACTCACGATGGTCCCGTACAGCGTCGTCAGCGCCACCTGTTCCATTAGAATCTTTGTAGATGTGGCCGCCGTCGTGTCGCATGCAGCGTAGTGCAGCGAGCGTCCGACCCTCCGTGAAACGTTCGTCGTAGTTTACTTCGAGTATTGTTTAATATCGTATCGAGAAATAGCGCTACTATCGCATAAACAGATCGTCACGCGCAACGGTAAACAGTGCACAAACCGAGTATGTATATATATATATATATATATATATTATTATATATATATATATATTACATATATTATATAGAACAGAAACACTTACGACAAACAAACGGCGGGTTTAGTCGTCCAAACTAACGGGTTAAATGATTGGAATCACATTGAATGTGAATTACTCCGACTACTTAAAAGGTAAAAAGTAAAAGTAAAATCCAAAATCAAAATTAAAGTTAAATCTCTTGTATGCATGTCTGGCCTGTGTCCAGCGCACGTAGCCGGTATATTAATAGACTTTCAGGAGATGTCATCATATAGATTATTAGTCTTAATTAAATCATTCTAATTTTTATGATTATATATTTATATTGGTCTAGTTATGACCGCTGATACATGGTTAATACTTCAAAATACATAGCAAACATATAAAAGTATAATTAAATAAATTGTATCCTCCGAATATTATACACAGTTCCAGCGTGCAAATCTAAGATGCCGCATGGGAGAGACGCGGCAGGGAGAAGGGTACGGCAGAGGCGCACGGGAGAGGCACACGGGAGAAGGGCACGGATAGAAACACACAAAGAGTCACACCGGAGAAGGCAGCGGGCAGAGCACACAGGAGAGACACACAGAGAGACGCCACAGGAGAAGGGCCGGAGAGGCACGCAGGAGCAAGAGCACGGAAAGGCCACACATAGAGAAGTGCACGGAGAGGCAACACAGGAAAGGCAGCAGGAGAAGGACGGAGAAGGGCACACCTCTATCACGGGAGGTTGATCGCAGCGGGGAAGCCTTCAACGAGTGTAGCCAACGATGGGCGTCGTCCTCCCGCAGCACGGCGTCGTGAAGCACCGTGCCTCCTCCCTGCTCCTCCTCGTCCCGCACCTCCGCCATCTCTCTCTCTCAGGCAGCTGCGCCACGTCCCGCACACTCCGCTGGCCACCGTCAAGGCAGTCAGCGCCCCTCTGCATCTGGCAAGAGTGATGTCGGCCTCAGCGTTAGCTCAGAAATGATTATTCTTAATTCGGCGCGTAAAATATGTTATCCGCGGTTGAATTCTTTTTCTACCGAGAAGTAAAAAATAATTTATCCGCGGCTTGATTGTTTTCGGTTGGTGGTTACGCGAGTGACTTGACAGTGAGCCACCATTACACGTTTTTTTTCTATTAGTTATTGTGTTATAATTATGTATAGTCATGTTTATGCTTATATATTATATTGTATTATCATTATATCTATATCTATATTTATTTATATTTCTATTTATATATTATCAATATAATCCATATTATACTTCTCATTTATATATATATATTATGTTATATTACCGCACCTTGTCGCCGGATCCTTGATTGCGAGCGTGATGATGTCTTGCGCGGGATACCTCAGCTTCTGGTCAAACGTGTTTGCTTCATCCCATGTCTATGCTGATGTGTCTTCAGCTCTCCTGGGAATAGATAGGGATGTGTGGGAGCAGACGGCGGAGATGCATCTCCCTCCACGCCTCACGTCCGCTGTCGTGGCCTAGCTGGGAGCGGGCGCGATGTCAGATTCCGTGGGCGTGGGCGAAATAGTAGCGGGACCGAGTTAGATGCAGTGCTTTCCTCACTGTCTTCTATTTCAGCTTTATCGTAGGAGGGAAGATTTAAACCACCCTTCTGTTTTACAGCTCTTGTCAGTAGGTCGGCTAGATGTTCCGGTGCCATCTTCATTTCGTTTTGTCGAGTTAGGACGCGGAGATGCCGACCCTCTTGTTTTTATCAGTTAGGAGGGGCAGACTTCGTCTTTTTTTTCCACCTTCATCAGTAGGAGGGGTAGATGTCACGCCCTCTACATTAACAGCCTTTATCACGGGGAGTGGCAGAATTTACACCCTCTATATCTCGCACTTTCATTAGTGCGGAGTCGGCAGATGTCACGGTTCTCGCATGCTTCCCAAGCGTTTACCAGTTGGCGAGATCGCGGACGCACGCTCGGCGCCTTTATTAAGTTCATTACAGGAATCGTTCGAGCTTCTTCCTTTTCACACCATGTGTCAGCATCGGTAAGGGCTATGCCACAACGTATGCAACTAGATCTGCCGTGTGAGATTGACCCTCATCGCCGCAATCAGCGTTATCCAGTTGTCTCTTCCACTGCCTTTCTCAGCGACGCGCCCATCGCTGGTTATCTAAGCAGGAGCAGTGAGAGCACCACTCGTGTCGCATTAGGCACCCGCTACGGTGTACACGTCGTCCCATCCGCTAGATGTATTCGCGCCTTAGAGCCGTCAGCTTAACGGTAGTCTGTGAAGGAAGCTTGAGTGTTACCACCTCGCGGTCTCGGGGTAATAGGGCTAGTGAGAGATGCTTCGCTCTTACACTACCTAGCGAGCAGAAGAGTTGAAGATGCTGCGCGCCTTCTATGCTTCTGGGGGTGGTGTAGGAGATGCGTGATGCGTTCGATTTCTCGCGCTGTAAGCTTCAGTTAACAAGCGTATAGGTGGTCGCAGCTTACTCTTTAACGTTCACTATTATTTAGAGAGATGTCAGATCTGCGGTGGATCCAGTATCGTTAGCCGTAGAGGGATGTGGAGATCTAACGCCTTCTGCAGTTTCAACTTCAGTGGATGGAGGAAAAGCTGTTGTTTTAACGTCAGTAGACAAAGGAGATTTCATTCTCTCTGTAGCTTCAACTTTAGCAGAGGGAGAGGGAGATTCTCTTCTATCTGTACTTTCAACTTTAGCAGAGGGAGAGGGAGATTCTCTTCTATCTGCAGTGCTAGGAGATGATTTTATACCATCTGTAGTAGCCGTTACAACTTCATTAGATGGAGAAGGAGATTTACTTCCCTCAGTAGTTACAACTTTAGCAGAGGGAGAGGGGGATTCTCTTCTATCTGTAGTTTTAACTTTAGCAGAGGGAGAGGGAGATTCTCTTCTATCTGCAGTGCTAGGAGATGATTTTATACCATCTGTAGTAGCAGTTACAACTTCATTAGATGGAGAAGGAGATTTACTTCCCTCAGTAGTTACAACTTTAGCAGAAGGAGAGTGAGATTCTCTTTTATCTGCAGTTTCAACTTTAGCAGAGAGAGAGGGAGATTCTCTTCTATCTGCAGTGCTAGGAGATGATTTTATACCATCTGTAGTAGCAGTTACAACATCATTAGATGGAGAAGGAGATTTCGTTCGCTCTGTACTTTCAACTTTAGCAGAGGGAGACGGGTATTCTCTTCTATCTGTAGTTTCAATTTCAGCAGAGGGAGAGGGAGATTCTCTTTTATCTGCAGTGCTAGGCGATGATTTCATGCCATCTGTAGTAGCAGTTTCAACTTCATTAGATGGAGAAGGAGATTTCCTTCCCTCAGTAGTTACAACTTTAGCAGAGGGAGAGGGAGATTCTTTTCTATCTGTAATTACAACTTTAGCAGAGGGAGAGGGAGATTTCTTTCTATCTGTAGTTTCAACTTTAGCAGAGGGAGAGGGAGATTCTTTTCTATCTGTAGTTTCAACTTTAGCAGAGGGAGAGGGAGATTCTCTTCTATCCGCAGTGCTAGGAGATGATTTCATGCCATCTGTAGTAGTTACAACTTCATTAGATGGAGAAGGAGATTTCCTTTTCTCTGTAGTTACAACTTTAGCAGAGGGAGAGGGAGATTCTCTTCTATCTGCAGTGCTAGGAGATGATTTCATTACATCTGTAGCAGTTTCAACTTCATTAGATGGAGAAGGAGATTTCCTTCCTTCTGTAGTTACAACTTTAGCAGAGGGAGAGGGAGATTCTTTTCTATCTGTAGTTACAACTTTAGCAGAGGGAGAGGGAGATTCTCTTCTATCTGCAGTGCTAGGAGATGATTTTATGCCATCTGTAGCAGTTTCAACATCATTAGATGGAGAAGCAGACTTTCTTCCCTCAGTAGTTTCAACTTTAGCAGAGGGAGAGGGAGATTCTTTTCTATCTGTAGTTTCAACTTTAGCAGAGGGAGAGGGAGATTCTCTTCTATCTGCAGTGCTGGGAGATGATTTCATTACATCTGTAGCAGTTTCAACTTCATTAGATGGAGAAGGAGATTTCGTTCTCGCTGTAGTTCCAACTTCAATAGATTGAATAGCAGATGTCCCGCCCTCTATATCTCTAGCATCCGCGCTGTGGGTGGCGCCCTCTATAGCCTGAGCATCCACGCTGTAGGTAGCAGAGTGGTGCCCTCTATATCTCTAGCATCCACGCTGTGAGTGGCAGAAGTGGCGCCCTCTATATCTCTAGCATCCACGCTGTGAGTGGCAGAAGTGGCGCCCTCTATATCTCTAGCATCCACGCTGTAGGTAGCAGATGTGGTGCCCTCTATATTTTTAGCATCCACGCTGTAGGTAACAGAAGTGGCGCCCTCTATATCTCTAGCGTCCACGCTGTGAGTGGCAGAAGTGGCGCCCTCTATATCTCTAGCATCCACGCTGAAGATAGCAGATGTGGCGCCCTTTATATCTCTAGCATCCACGCTGTAAGTGGCAGGAGTGGCGCCCTCTATATCTCTAGCATCTACGCTGTAGGTAGCAGATGTGGCGCCTTCTATATCTCTAGCATTCACGCTGTAAGTGGCAGAAGTGGCGCCCTCTATATCTCTAGCATCTACGCTGTAGGTAGCAGAAGTGGCACCCTCTATATCTCTAGCATCCACGCTGTGAGTGGCAGAAGTGGCGCCCTCAATCGCTTCAGCACCCGCGCTGTGGGTGGCGCTCTCTATAGCTCCACCATCCGCCGCCTGAGAGACAGACGCTGTCCGCGCGCTCTCCACCCGACGCCTCGCTGCCTCGCCGGTCAGCAGGGAGTCAATGTCGATGCGATGCTGTTTCGCATTGCTAAGGTAGTGCTCGGGCGTGCGGCCGTTCTGTGAAGTTAAACAACAAACGACGCCATGTTTTATCCGCTCGCGTACGTTTATACGCGTATACTCGCGAGTGACAGTAGCTCGGGATTCTTTTCACGTTGATTATTAAAGTGAATAATAACGATGAGGCTGACGTTGCCCGAGGCAACTCATTGACTCACTCATTCTGACTCATCCTCGGGCGGCAATTATGTAATTGCACCAGGGTCGATTCAATGCAGTGCACCCGTGGATATGATTTGAGTTATCATGGAAAGAGCTCGTGCATCTGTATACTAATAAATCTATCTCTCTCTTTCTCTCTCTCTCTCTCTCTCTCTCTCTCTCTCTCTCTTTCTATCATCCATCTAATCTATATTATCTACTGTTTCTCTCTTTCTCCTCTGTCACTATTATCTATCTATCTATTCTGTCTTTTGAAATGTTTGTCAAAATATTGGATTCTACGTCGCTCTAGAGCGACTTTGGGATACTCATATTACTTCTACAAGTGAAATTTTCCTGCAGCGCTTGATATACTACGGAATATTCAAGATATCGCATTTATATAGGCAAAATCTGTGTATGAGAGGCGGCGGTCGTTGTGTGCTGTGCACTCGCGAGTGCGCTACTGTGTGTGTGTGTGTGTGTGTGTGTGTGGTCTGTGTGTGTGTGGTGGCGTACGCGCGCCGCCCTCAGGTGTCTGTGCGTGCGTGCTGTGTTGTGTGTGCTGGGCGTGCGTCGCGGGTGTCTGTGCGTGTGTGTGTGCCGATGCGTGCTGTGTGCGTCGCGTGCGACGTGTCGACGTGAAGTATGCATGAACTTACCAGGTCTATGAGTCGTGCTCGTCAAGCGCTGCCGTCAGCAGATCTTGTAGAGTGACCGCCATCCCGGATAAGCGCCGCGGTACGTGCAGCGGTGTCAGGCCCATTCTGCAGAAGCGTCATTGCTGGTGATACTATCCGCTCTCTCTCACCTTCTCTCTTGCTCTCTCTCTCGCCTTCTCTCCTCTCTCTCTCCTTCTCTGCTCCCCTCTCTCTCTCTCTCCTCCCTCTCTCTCCTCCCTCTCCTCTCTCTCTCTCTCGCGCTCTGCCTCGTCGCGCTTCTCTTTCTTTCTCCGCGTCTCTCTTCCTCTCTTCCTCTGATCCTCTCGTCTCTCTCTCTCCTCTCTCTCCGTCTCCTTGCTCTCCGCTTCCTCTCTCTCTCTCTCTTCTTTGCTCTTCTCTCTCTCGCTCTCTCTCTCTTGCTCCCCCCCCCTCTCTCTCTCTCTCTCTCTCCCACTCTGCTCTCTCCTCTTCTCTCTCGTCTCTCGCGCGCTTTCTCTCTCTCTCTCTCTCTCTTCTCGCTCTCTCGTTCGTCTTCTTCGCGCCTGGCCTCTGTCTCTCTCTCTTCTCGCTCTCTTCCGCGTCTCTCGCCGCAGGCGCATCTCTCTCTCTTCTCTCTCTTCGCTCTCTCTCTCTCTTCCTTCCTCTCTCTCGTCTTCCTCTCTCCTCTCTCTCTCTCTCTCCCTCTCGCGGCGGCTCTTCTCTATCTCGTCCTCCGTGCGGCCTCTCTCTCTCTCTCTCTCTCTCGTCGCATCTCATAATCCTATCTATCTCGTCAGCTCTCATCTCTCTTCCCCTCCATCTTTCTAATTCTGTCTATCGCTCTCTCTCCTTCTATCTCTCCCGTCTATCTATTATCTCTCTCGCAATCTCTCTCTCCCTCTCTCGCTTCCTCTCTCCTTCGCGCTCAATCTCTCTTCGCTTTCTCTCTTCTCTCTCTCTCTCTTCGTCGTCTCTCTCTCTCTCTCCCGGCGCGCGCGCGCGCTTCGCTCTCTTCTCTCCTCTCCCTCTCTTCTCATCCCCTCTCGCCGCGCTCATCTCTCGTCGCGTGACTCTCTCTCTCTCTCTCTCTCTTCTCTCCTCTCCTATTTCGCTCTCTCTCTCCGCCAGCGTCGCTCCTCGTCTCTCTCTCTCTCGATCTTTCTTCTCTCTCGCTCTCTCTGCTCTCTCTCTCTCTCTCTCTCGCTCCATCTCCTCTCTCTCTCTCTCTTCAGCCTAGCATCCTTTACCAGTCTTCATTCACCGCGACCCACCACTCCTCACAATCACGCAACTTTATCAGACACCTATGCCAAAAACGAATATTATAGTAAACACGCTATCAAAGAACCAACCCCCGCCAAAACAGATGTTAAGCGTACCATCTAGCAAACCCACCCCTACCGAACCCAGATATTACGCACATTCCTATTCAAAACCAACGCCACCTGCCGAAACAGATATTACGTACCACACCGGCTATCAAAACCAACGCCCCTGCCAAACAGATACTATGTAACACCCCGCTATCAAAACCAACCCCTTGCCAAAACAGATGTTTATACGTTAACCACTATCCAAACCACCCCCTACGAAACAGATATTCCCCAACACCACTATCAAAAACAACCCCCTGCCGAAACAGATATTCGTACACCTGCTAATCAAAAACCCACCCCTAGCAAAACAGATATTATCAGCGGGCCCGCTATCAAAAAACCACCCCCTGCCGCAACAGATATTACGTAACACCACATCAAAAACCCACCCCTGCCAGAAACAGATATACGTGAGACACCGGCTATGCTGTAAGAACCCACCGCCCTGCCAGGACAGGATATTATAGCGGGGCCGCGTATGCATAAACCCAACTCGCCCTGCCGAAACAGAATAATTTAGGTAAGACCGCATCGTAAAGAAGCCCACCCCGTGCCGAAACCAAATAGTGATACGGCCGCTATCGAAAACGGCCACCGCCCTGCCGAAACAGATAGTACGTAAAGCGACCGACTCATGCAAAAACCCACCCCCTGCCGAACGACAGATATTACGTACTCACGCTAAAGTTCAAAAACGCCACCCCCGTGCCAAAGACGATAGTATAGGGCCGCTATCGAAAGACCGCACACCCCCTGCCGAACAGAGTATTATCTAACACCACTATCAAAACTCACTGGCGCCCTGTCCGAAGACACGGATGTTGATACGTTCCGCGTATCATACAGAAACGCCACCCTGCTGCCAAATCACAGATATTACGTAAACAAATGCACGACCCCCAGAGCCACCAATGCTGAGGCCGCTAATCAAGAAAGACCCACCCCGCTTTGTACCGTAAACCACCATGAGGACCCAGATTGTAGATATCGTGCCGCTATCAAAACCTACCCCGCTGCCAAAACAGGATGTTGTATACGTCCGCAGTGGCGATAAACCACCCCCTGGCCGGACAGAGTATTCTAACACCGCTATCAAAAGACCCACCCCGTGCCGAAAGGACAGGATGTGTATGATCGTGCCGGCCTGATCACCAAGACCCACCCCTGCCGAGAAACGGAGATATTACATAAGCGACCCGCTATCAAAAGACCCACCCGCGCGTAACCGAGAAACAGATGTATACGTACCGCTATCGAAAGACCGACCCGCCTACCGGCCGAAACAGGCATGAGTTATGGTAACATGCTATCAAAAAACGGGCCACCCCGGTGCGCAGAAACGAGATTGTTATAACGTGCCGTGATCGAAAAACCCACGTCGCCCGTGCCGAAAACCGATATTTACGTATCACCGACTGTATCGAAAGGAACTCACCCCCTGCCGAAAGCAGCATGCTTATACGTACCGCGATGATCGAGGAAACCGCCCCTCTGGCAACGATATTCAGCGTAACACCTGGCGATCGAAGAAACCGCACCGCCGTACGCGGAAAACAGATGTTTTACGTTAGCCGCTATCAAAACCGACCCCCTACCGAAGAGCGAGAATGATTTGTAGAACACTGCTGATGCAACCCGCCACGCCGCGTAGCCAAATCTAGATGTTATACGGTGCGCATCAAGACCACCACGCCGCTGCCGAAGACAGATATTACGTAACACCGACTGATCAAAAAACCGCGACCCTCCTGGCCGAAACAGGTTGGTGTTACGTGCCGCTAGTCAAAACACCCACGCTCCTGCCGAGAATAGTATGTTTACGTAACACCCGTATAAAAAACGCCGACTCCCGTCCCAAAACCAGATGGTTATACGTCCGCTAGCGTGCAATAAACCGAACCGCCTGCCCAAGAGACAGATGGGTTATACGTGCCGCTATCGAAAGACCAACCCCCTTGCTCTGCGAAAATGAGATGATATATTCGTGCCGCTATCAGAGAAACCGCACGCCGCCCTGCGAACAGATATTTGACGTACTACCGCTATCAAACGCAAGAACCCCGTCTAATCGGTAAAAGAAAAAAAAGGAATCGCCTTACGCGTTCGGTGCGTAGATGCAACGTTCGTGGGAAGTTCTCCGCCAGGTAGCGCACGCCTGGCGTGCTTCCGACTGCTGGTACGCTGCTGTGCGTCAGACACTGCCCGCGATCGTTTGTGAGCGACGCCAACGTCTGTATCTGTCGAGCAGCCGCTTGGTGGCGTTGACGGTCGAGAGGAACAGATGGCGACCTGCCAGTGCTCCCAGGGTCTCCGTAGCAAGGTCATTAGCAGTAGTAAGATTTGTATAATGGCTTCTTATTTATATAATTATAAATTCAGAGTATGAGTATATATATATATTAGTATTGATAAGTGTTCTGAACAATCACCTCACGGAGACTGAATAGTATATAATGGGCCATATTAACCTGTAAGTTAAATTGTTAATAAGATAGTTAAAGTGATGCGTATAATAAATTAGATTATCATGTTAATATTTATATTTAATCCGGTAATAATTTTGGTATACTTTTGGATGAAGTAACGTAATAATGTGGTTAAGCGTTTATGAACGTAGTTTTATGCTACGGTTAACTTAACATGTTACGTAGCTATCTGTTAACGAATCTTACAATAACTACAGCCATGATGATTGACAGTGTTCAGTTTTTGAATGAACCTGACGCCCGACTACAGCAAGTCGAAACTAGTCGTGTCATTGCTAATCACTTAGCATTCTCATACCTTAACTTTGGTACAATGGCGATTCAGATGAACCGACATAATAGTGAGATCCACATGGGCAAGAACAGTGGAGCAGCGCGCTCTGGCGTAGAGCCGTCCTGGCTCCCTCGTTGCACACTTGGCCATGATAGTTAATATAGCGTCTAGAGTTAAGAAATACGTAAAAAGATTTTAATCATCAGGCGGTTGAGAGGGCTTGCTCAGACAATATATGGTCGTTAATAGCTGTCAGCGATTGATTTAGAGAATAAACACCCTCTTTCCGCGCAGGCCGCTGTGGTTGAAATTTCCGTTCTGCTCGCCACACACACACACAGCCACAGCACACATCACACCCCAGGCACACAGTTCACCACACACACACACACACCACACCACGTGCGGCCGCGCGCACAGTTCAAGGCCGCGATCAGCCACATACACACACACCCCAAACACACAGACACACACACACACACACACACACACACACACACACACACCTACACACACACACACACGACACAGCATTTCACACGCACTCCACTTGCACTTGATTTCGCTGATTAGTCACCTGTGTTTGCTCTCACAAACTGCCGCTGCGCTTCGCATGTTACTGCTGTTCGCGTATGACGTCGATAAACCCAGCCCGCGTTGCCGCATCACCGCATCGGATTTACAACTCTACATCTCTTCCCTCTCGCCCTCTTTCTGTCTCGCGTCATTCTTTCTCTCTCTCTCTCATCTCATATCTCCTCGTCTCCTTCTTCGTCTTTCTCTCTCTGGCTTTCTCTCCTCTCTTTCTTTTTATGTCTCTCTCTCTCCTCTCTCTCTTCTTCTTCTTATACTGTCCTCTCTCTCTCTCGACTGCCTTCTTTTTCGGCTCTGCTCTGTCTCTCCTCCTCTCTCTCTTCACCCCCCCGTTCTCTCTCCGCTCTCACTCTCCTCTCTCTCGTCTCTCTTCTCTCTCTCTCTCCGATCTCTCTTTCCTCTCATCCTCTCTCTGTCTCTCTCTCGTCTCCTCTCTCTCTCTGTCTCTCTCATCTCGATCTTTCTCCCAGCTTTCCTCCTCTCTCTATTTCTTTCTATGCTCTCCTCTCTCTTCTCCTCTCTCTCTTCTCTCGTATATATGTCCTCTCTCTCTCTCACTCTGCCTTTTTCGGCGTCTCGTTCCTCGTCTCTCTCTCTCTTCAACCCCCCTCGTTGTTACTCCCCTGCTCACCCACCCCTTCTCTCTCCCCCTTCCACTCTCCTCCTCTCTCTCTCTCTCTCTCTCTCTCATCTCTCTCTCCCTCTCTTCTTCGTCTCTCCTGTCTCGTCTCTCTCCCTCTCTCTCCTCTGTCTCTCCTCTCTTTCTCTCTCTCTCTCTTCTCTCTGTCTCTCTCTTTTGTTCTGCTGTCTCTCTTCGCTCTCTTCTTTCTCCTTCTCTCGTCTCTCTCTTCTCTCTCTCTCTCCTCTTCGCTCTCTTCCCTGTCTCTCTC